CTGCGGGCAGCCGCGAGAGCACGGTGTGGGCTAATTTGCTCTGCTTCTCAGTTTGCCGTGGTACTCGAAGAGCCGTAATTTAAGAGCTGCAAGTGGCCCGATAAATCAGGGCTTATTTCCTGCCAGTACTGGCCGCTGCTTCCCACAAGGAAACTCATTTTACAGGAGGGGAAATGACTTACCACGGGAAATAGTAAGCGGTGGGATGACGAGAGCCAGGGAAAAGTTTGTCGTGGCTGAGTTTTTGGTGAAGGAACCGGCTGACGTGCATTGCGGGAGCCTCGGCCGTGGCGGCGGGCCGTGCGCACCTCCGCGGAGTGAATGCTTGACCCGCCCAGAGACGTGGTGGGATGGAGGCCTGTCAGAAACTGTCAGTAATGCCTCAGTCCCGATCAGCCTTAAGCCGGTAAGTAGTGTCCTTAAAGGGCAAAAGCTTAAGGAAATACAGAGGGTTTATAGGCACGGGGTGGATGGCTGAGAGAAATGAGGCGATGGCTTTCAATTTGAAAAGCTATGGCTTGGAGTAGTTTGCATTTCCTGAGGTTTCATAGCACTGAGTGTATTGACAACATGACAAGATGTAAATGTTGAATAGCTACCTTGGACCCCAAAGTCTTCCCGAGTACTGCTGAAGGGACTGTAGTTACAGCCCCAGGAATCAGCACAGGGTCAGGAACTAAGAACTCTGATCTGTAATAGTAATACTGCTGCTGCCCTGCCGGCTGGCCTCAGAGAAATCTCTTTATCTCGATTCCACATCAAGGCGTTTAATTAAACATATGCTCCAAGTTGTTTGAATTTGTTCTAGGAGACTTCAAAGGGGAGGAATAATTAATTTTTATTACAGAGCTTTTCTGTTTTGAGGCTTTTAAGTACCTTGTTACCTGAAAAAAAAGATATATTCAGGCAAGATAGCAAAACCTTGAAAAAATCCTTTGAACAGACATTTCACTTTAGGAAACATTTTATTTTGTTAATTTAACATTCAATTTTGACTTCTCAATTTAATCATAGATTGTTTTTTTTGAATTTGTAAGGGGTTTAAGCAGAAGAAAGCTGATGAAACAGGTTGAGAAATTTTGTAAGAATTATATTTGCACGTAACATGAAGAATTCTTCTCCTATTCATAATACTTTTCTAGCTAGATTCCATTTGGCAAATACCCACATACTTGCATATGCCTCTAACAACTTCTCCATTTTATTTTCTATTGGAGCATGTACTTAATGCCTGTGAGATGTGGCTCACTGTAACTGAAATGATGTGTAGAGGCAATTAAACCAGTGGGATGCTGGAATGTCAATTGACAAACCAAAAATTCAGTCAAGGTCTACACAGACACAGCTGGGCCATAAGTTCATCCTGATGCTAGGTTGCAGTCGGCAGAGAATAGGTCAGCCAGCCAGCTGATTTAACTAAAACTGGGGCAGAACACCAGCTGCGGTATAGCCAGACAATATAGAAGTCTGCCCTCCCTCTCCTTTCCTTCCTCATGACAAAATATACAAGCAAAACCGTGACATCTTGTAACTCTAGCCTCCTTTCATACTAATTTAATCATTATTGTTCATCAGTGATTACCATCTTAGGCAATGGAAGCATAAGGTCCGCTAATGTGCCTGTTTCCTAGTAGAAGGCATTTTGAACCTAAAATCATGGTGTTCACCTTGTCTTTGTTTGCCTTTTGCACTCTTAGTATATTTACCTATTTTATTGTGTTAAATGTACATCTTGTTAGGAATATGCTTTGCCTAAAAGCTGCTTTAGTGGTGAAATATTAATAAAACTACTGAGGTTTTTCAAGATTTAACATCCTATGAGCTTGATGGCTGATCAAAAAGATTTAGGGTCCATTATGTCAGATCATTTCAGCATAAAGGCATTTTAAGTAGAAAGTATTCATGTACTGAATATGAACAGCGTCATTTTCAAATCAGTTGTAATACCAGCACATATACAAAACTGTCTTACTATGGCAAAAATGCAATGTCTGATATCCCTGGAACATTATTTCAGAACATCTTTAGGAAAATCTGAAAATAGAGAATAGTGCAGATTATATTGTTATCTTAAGTTTCTAAATAGGATGTTTTTGTTTTTTTTTTTAACCTAGCTCACTCTTCAGTCTCACAAGTGCTAGTATGTAAAGCAGGAATATCCTGGAAAACAATTCCTCTTTCACTGGTATCCACTGGCATTAAATTTAGCAGATCTAATTTCATAGGCATTCCTGCATGGGGGGAGGAAACTGAACGCGTGGCTGGCATATACGCTGCTATTTGCAACCTCAAACACATACAGAATACCAGGACTGTTGGTAGAGAAAGGGTTGTGTGGTTATAGCATTGTTCATGACTCTTCTCAACATCTGAAACAGTCCTTTGGGACCAAAGACAGCCAAGTGCAAGTTAAGGCAAACATTATTCTCTACTCCAGTCACTGCATTTTTCCACACAGTCCTGGGGTGTGTAAAGCACCTCTTCCCCCTAAGAAGGATGACATTTCTTACCCAAGGGTCAGCATATTCACCCCATTGATGGCAATTTTTTAACTTCCTTTCATTATTGTCTTACAAAGAGTAGTTCAATATCCATTCATGACAAAGCTGAAGTCATCTCATGCAAAATTCCAGGAGCATATGAGTCTTTAATTGACCCAGTTATCAGGACTGGAGGTGGCAGGAGGTTCTAAGGATGAACACTCCGAAACTGAGTGTTTCTGACACTCAGAAACTCTGTGAGCAAAGATCAAGGGTGCAAAGGGATGTTTTAACCCCTTCCAGTTTCCTACTAAGAAGGGCAAAAGCTAAGCGCTGTGAGTGGCATGTATCTGCTCTCTCAAAGTTATAGCTAACTTGCTGGAGATAGCTCAAATGAATGCAGAGAATGTCTTAAAGCCAAACTAGATGTAAGGTTATCTATAAAGCATGTTTCATTTCTTGATCTCCAACTTAGATGACTTCTTTTTTCAATATATTCTGCTAAAATGCAGAGCTCATCTCACTTGTACTTAAAATCTGTATAGAGTTACGAGTGATTTCAGAAAGAATGGAAAATCTGAGAAAAGCTGTTACTCAGGAATGCCAATCCTAAACCAAGCATACTAGTTTATTCCATTACTGTAGTATAAGCGTTCCAGCACAAGGGCATTCTACATTCAGCTGGGTTCAGGCATTATGCTTCAAGGGCCGGTATGTAGGCTGGGAATACAGGAGACCAGTTTGGAGAAAAGCCTCCCCATAGCAAGAATAGGTAGAGATATGTGTGACACTGTTAAGATGTGAGAGAGAAGGCTGGAGATTCAGAGGTCCCCTCCAGATTAAATGATTAAAAAAAAAGTATTTTTGCTAAAAAATTAAGAAGTCGACTGCTTTTCATCATCTTGTATGCCAAAACATACAATTGTTAACCTAATGGACCCCAGATACTTTTGTATTTCAGGTTGTTTTCAAAACCACATTGTGCTGTATTGAAAAATAAACCCTTCTGAAGCGATGCAAAAATTAAGTCAAATGAAACATCAGTGCAATAATATTATGGTAATAATTCTTTGTGGGATCATATTTCAGCAATGTGGAGGTTACTTCAACATTTTTCTCTCCAGTTCAGTTACCTCTTATGAGAAAAAGAAAACATTAGTTTGTCTAAAGAAAAAAGATTCAGGTCACTAGATATATAGAATGATTGTAAAATTAGCTTTATGGGGTTTTTTTGTGTGATTAGAATACTTAGCAATAGAATGACTTCATTCCTTTTTGTCGCATCATTGCATAAATTATTTTGCACATACAGCTGAGAGGTGGAGATGATTATACTACGTCAGTTCTTGGTTTAATTTATATGCATCTGGTAGAAGCTTTGTCCCCATGCAGATGTAGTGTCTACTATATTGAACAAATTGTTACAACCTCATGTACCAAAAAATTTAAGAGATTTCAGTGAGCGTGTCTACTACTTCTTAAACTGGCTTATTTCAAAATGACATTCTAAAGCTTTTAGATTGTTTAGCTCATATAATATCAATGAATAGGCAGACTTAACAAATCATATAAAAAGTAAATAGATTATTCATTGTACACTTTTCCAAGTGTTGTGTCCAAAATGTGCTTAAATATCAAATCTAGGAAATGCAGGTTTATGGTTATAGCACCATTATGTAGATTGACTAAAAATAAAAAAATATAGCTACCTTCATACAAAACAATATTCCAACAAATCAAAGCAGATCAGAAAACTAGGTTACAGGTAGTATTAACAACTGGAAATGTTCTACTTCCAACAGACGCATAATGGATTACATGTCTTATGCAAACTGAAATTATGGTTCTAATTCTGCAGCTTTTAATTACATGAATCGTCTTCACACGTGTAATTTTTCACTAAACTGAGTAGTGATGGCTTATACGAGTAATGATTCAGACCACTCCCTCTAGGACCCAGAACTCAAATGTATATTTATATATAAAGTTACACATGCAATTAGCATATTAGACTAAGTTGCTAAGGGAGTATCATGTTTGGTGTGTCAGATACGCCTCAGTAATTTTATATGGT